CTGTGTGGTGTGGAGGGGTTCGGTTGGGCTGCTCTTACCGCTTCACTGACACACCGGTTTAGATGTTACTTTGAAACGTGCCTGGTGTTGGCTGGGCCTTGAACTGTTGCCGAAGTTCATGGAGATGTGCTAGGGGAAGGGATGAAGGATGCTGTTCTATAAAGGAGTTTGGGGTTTTTTGTAAGGCAGACAACTGAGGTAATGTTTTAGTGCCTGTGGTCAGATAATCTCGCCAAAAATATTAAAGTGTCTCAAGGTCAAGTTTACTGGCTTTAGTTCCGCTTTATGTGTGATGCTCTGGGAAGAAAGTCCCTCTCCACATCTTCATAGAATCATAGAGTAGTTAGGGTTGGAAAGGACCTTAAGATCTCATCTAGTTCCATGCCCCCTGATATGAGCAGGGACACCACACACTAATCTATGTCGGCCAAGGCTCTGTCCAGCTTGACCTTGAACACTGCCAGGGATGGAGCATTCACAACTTCCTTGGGCAACCTATTCCAGTGCCTCACCACCCTCACTGTGAAGAACTTCTTCCTTAGATCTAATCTAAACTTCCCCTGTCCAAGTTTGAACCCATTACCCCTTGTCCTACCACTACAGTCCCTAACGAGGAGTCCCTCCTCAACATCCATATAGGCCCCCTTCAGGTACTGGAAGGCTGCTATAAGGCCTCCACACAGTCTTCTCCAGGCTGAACAGCCCCAACTTTCTCAGCCTGTCTTCATACAGGAGGTGCTCCAGCCCTCTTATCATCCTCGTGGCCCTCCTCTGGACTTGCTCCAACAGCTCCATGTCCTTTTTATGTTGAGGACACCAGAACTGTACACAATACTCCCCACTGAGGTCTCAGGAGAGCAGAGTAGAGAGGCAGGATCACGTCCTTTGACCTGCTGGTCACGCTCCTTCTGATGCAGCCCAGGATATGTCATGGATCTTTCAAAATGTATACTCAGATTCATTGAGGAAGAAAGACATTTTGCAGAAGTGTAATGTCAGTTGGGGAGAAATAGTAAAAGGTGTGATTTATTCAAGTTTTTACTTGATGGATTCCACTTCATTTTAGAGAATGGTGAATTTCGAGATAACTTCAGAGCAATGCGTATTCTCAGTTCATCTTGGTTTACTTTCTAATACAATTTACTTGCATACCTCCATACAAGGAATAGTACAAGAAATATGAGGTGCAGGAAAACTGGAGTACTTTCTAAAAATACAGTGCAAAAAAGTACGTAAAATGAACTTGAAGCATTTATCTTACACAGCTATCACCAAGTAAAACTGCTCATTGTTGCACTACTCACATTGCTTAAACCTGCATTTATAGGAACAGCTCTACCTGTGTCCCTTCAGCACTTACAGGGCCAGTCAGAAAAAGGAGACTAAAACAACAAAAATTCTGTTCTGGGCTACAGGTGAAATCCCCTTAATGTCATCTGAACACGGTCATCAAACCCACCTAAATGTGGTTGCTGACCTTCAGTTTGCTTTGACAGCACTGGTTTGCTGTCAAGTAAGTCTCAAATTGAAGGGCAACCATCATCTGGTTTCAACACATCAGTAAATTGCTTGATGCAAAGGAGAGGCTAGTAATGGTGAAGGTGATGAAAGGAAGGACAAAGGGACTACTGAGATGGAATACCACTTGTTGAGCAGTGGAAGAGCTGATGCTTATTATAATCAGCTTGGTGTTAAGTATCAGGCCCTCAGCTGTGAGCATTAAACCAAGTGATTTCCTGAGAAACTTGCTATGCTGTTTGCTACTACCTCTTTCTGAGAAGTGCTTATGCAGTCCTCATCAAATGGGGCCACATCCTGGATAAATCTGGAAGAGTAAGTTGTTGTGGCAGAGGGGGATGAGAGTGGGAGGAAGTGGTAAGGACAGGTATAAAGAGGATAGGAAGGAGAACATGTGAGGAGGGATTTAGAACGTTGTGTCTGTCAAAAATTGCTTTCCTCTCTCGAAGTTTGAGGCCTCCTGTTGCCTCAACATTGTGACCATTTTCCAGTAGCCATGGATGCCTCACTCTTTTGTCCTTAGTGTTGTCCCTGTCCCAGCCACCTTCCAGGGTTCTCACTGGCACCAGGGCAGCTTAGTCTGCACCTCTTTAGGAAGGGTGGAGGAGGCTTCCCTGGTATGAGAAATGTTCCTGGGTTCGGTTGTGATGTTTGTAGCAGAAGTACCATTTCAGTAGCTTGCACAAGCTAAAGCAGTTGCCTGAAACAAAATAGTTCAGTTTCTCAGGAGCTAGCTATAGTAGTTGTTATTAGGCAACCAGCTATACCAGTTACAAGTGAGCATTCCTGATGGCATTCTGCCAGTTTTCCCTTTGAATTTTATGAATCATGCCTCAACATAAGGTTTAGACACATTCTCCACACAACAGTAAGTATTAAACAGGAGAACATCCTAAGAAATGGTCGTGATGAAAGGCTAAAACATTTTCCACAGCTTTCAAGTTTGTGCAAATTTCAAATGACCTGATATTATTATTTCCTCACACATCTTTCTAAAAGGGTTGATGAGTAATATTTTTCTCCACCTTTTTCACTTTGTTTCAGTCTGCAGGCAGGAGACTTCCAATGGCCATGTATGAAGTTGACCTCAGGCTGGGAAGAAGACTGTGTCAAAATAGTACAGGAAACCTGTGTGCTTACAAGCTAGAAGAAGTGGCTTTATTCAGAAGAATTTTGACTTTCAGCATAGTTCACCCTCATCAGAAATGGTGAATTATTTTTAAGTCTAATTCATTAAAATAATACACAGTATGGTGACTAAAGAAAGCTGGCTATAAGTAGCTCAGAATGGTTGTTAAAGACAGTGTTGTTTCTCAGCTCAAAGTACTTTATTAAGGGTTTTTCTCCCCTACATGGTCAGTGTGGAACACAAGCAATAGAATCCATTCCACCAAAGAAGGAAAGCCCTATTGATAGCCCTGATGGTTTCTCTTGAGAAATTTGAAATTTAATATAGCTGGAGTCCTATTGACCTGCAGTCAACTTCCCATGGTAGAGAACTATAAAAAGTAAAGGCCACTGCTTCAGTTATATACCTCATGGAATACATTTTTTTTCCCTGAAAACTAAGTGTAGGAATAAAGCTGTGAGCCAGTGGGCCTTTTCCATTACTTTTCTTTCTGTAATTGCCACTACAGAGAGTGTATACGAGACTAATGAGTGAGCCAAATAGCTGGAAGAAAAGTAGAGAGGAAAGCTTAGAATAGATCTATGCAAATGATGGACTCGGGTCTGAATCTGGGCAGATCCCAGACAAGTAATGCCTCCTACATTCCTGTCCAAGGTCTCAGTATCTCTTAGTCTTCCCCTGTCTCTTGGGAACCAGCTTAAGATCACCCTTACAATTCTTGATCATGTGGGCAGTGTGCAGTGCAAAGCTAGAAGAAGAACACCAATTCTTTTTTTTGCTATAAATGGGCTTTGGTAAAAATGAATGTTGTGGTCCTGGTTCAGGTGCTCGTATAGGGCAGTTACAGAGGTCAGCAGCATGAACTCAATGGATCCAAACAATGGAAAGTGTTTTTTTTCCATTGGCTCATCAGACAACTGCCTCCCAACATAGTTATCCATTGTTAATGGATTCTATGTAGGCACTGCAGCTATGTTAATTTTTTTTGCAGCCTGGCACATGATAGTTCTCAGGCAACTCTGCTCCAAGGCTCTGAAAGACTGTATGAAGGCCATCAGTAGGCAAGCCATGATCAGGAAAAGCTGTGGTAACACAATGCCTTTGCAAAACCTCCAGAAGATTACGGGTGTCCCAGACCTGCTCACAAAATAACCTGTGGGGTAAGGGCAGCATTTGCCTCCTATGGATTTTATTTGGAGGTTTCATTGTGCCAGAGTGACTGCTGCTTCGTGAGTTGGGAAGTGAATAGCATTTTCACACTAAATGCAGAAAACCGCAAACAAGAACTTACTTGAGTTTTTTCTGTATTACCAGTAGTTGTGGGTATTTCCAGTAGTTGTGGAGAGGTGATCACCTGCTTTTATGTCATTTATCAAACTTGTGTCTGTATCATTTGCTGCTTTAAGTATTCCTGCCAATATATCTCTCCTATCAAACATGAATTTTGTATTCCTTCTCCCTCAGAGGCGATATTCCATATGGAATATCAGTGTGTAGGAAGGGTTAAAGTCTTAAAGCTATTGAGTCCTTTTTGATTTGGCATTGTTGAGTGAGCTGTAGAAAACCTACCTATATTTGAGCATGCTGCAGAGTAACGAGAAACAATGAAGCAAGAGAGGAACTGAAAAATCCAGTTCCAGTTCTGTGATAACAGCAGAGAGATTTTTGAAACTAAAGTGCTCTTTCTGGACTACAGGTTGGGAGACACTATATTTGCTATCAAGTTTGAGAACTGTTTGTCTTGTGTTTGTTACCTATTGAGGTTTCTTTCCTGAATTTTTGGAAGTGAAAGGAATTCTTCTGTGTGCTGCAACTGGAGAGTTTAGTGCTGGACCAAGGCAAGACAAGGACAGAATTCTTCAGAGGTACCCTCTGAGGCTGATCAGTTTAAGATAGTGTGGTTTTATGGCTGTGCTAAACCTGTACAAGCAATGATAGTGACTTTTATTTTTTTCCTCAGAAGCTTTCTTAGCTCTTGGGCAGATTTCAGCTGTAATCTTTATTGCAAGTTTTATTTCACATTTTTGCAGACTGTTCACAATGGAGAAACCAAATGTGGTATCTACAGACTGGTAAGTAGGGTACTTCATTAGGGTGAGACAGGTACACAAATTGAAACAAAGGAGTTTTTCCTTGAGGGAAGTGATGGATACAGATATTTCGTGACTCAAGCATCATTTATGGTCATGTTTGCATCATAAATGTTGTTAACAGGTCCTGAGACAAAGGTGAGAAGATGCCAAAGACATGGTATTCTTTCCTGCTGTGTTGGCTGTCCTTGCGGCTTGAGGCTAATCCTGGTCTTAAAGTGAGGATTACTCAGAAGGGGCTGGACTATGGTATGTCGGAGATTGCCAGAAGTTACTTTATGATAAATACTTTATGCACAGAATATAGTTCCTTAATAAAGGTGCAGGGTAGAAACAAGGTTCTTAACTATTGACATAGAATAAATTCCTTTTGTCACCTCACACCAGGAACACCTTTTGTCTCTTCTCTTCCTTATTTCCTTCCTTTTTGTGCACCCCAGGTGTGAATTTATCCCTCTATTGGGGAGTACATTCTCCTACACTCCAACAGTGTTTCTGCTTTATTCCTCATATCAATCTACTTTCATAGAACTAGGATGAGATGGTTATATAATTGCTCATTTTTTTGAAGTGTCAAAAACCTAATTGAAAGTGCAGTATTTTATTGAAGATAATAAGATACAATTTGGTAAAAAGCTTACCATTTTTGAACAGCCAAGTAGCAGCATACCTTTACTCTCATTCATCTGTTTGGTGTGGGATAGCATCTGAATGTGCCATTCTTTCAAAAAAATCTAGTAACTGCCTGCCATAATTTTGCCCCTTAACAGAATGTCAGCAATTTCCAGAATATATTTTCCATATTCTTTCTAATCATGCTAACTTTCACTGTCTCTTACCTAAGACCTAGTCCATGGGTGTGGCGGGCACACAGTATAATTTCAGTTGTTTACAGAATTAATATTAATAATCAAGGTTAACAAGGCACAAATTCAACAAAGGCTGGGTCATGCTAAGGATTAATTGTCATTTATGTTCTGAACATGCTGACAGGCAAACAATAGACTTGTGAAATGAAAAGTAGAAGCTCAGGGTTTACGCCTTTGAGATGAAAGCAAGGATCAGGTCCACTTATTTCTCTGTTTGAGCATTGTTTTAAAGGCTTTGAGGAATTGAGAAGTGCAGGGCAAACACCAGTCACCCAAAACAGAATTGATCTTCATATCTTTTTATGACATACAGGACAAGTCGCTCCCCAGGGATCTCTCATGTCTTTAGAAATGAGAACTCAGCCTGGTATTTCTTAGTGTGAGCCCAGCACGTTTTGTGACATTCAGCCTGGCCTTCAAGTGCTGAGCCAATGCTCCTGCATTAGTAGCAAGAACAGATGTTAACAGTGTGCCTCCTGAAGGTATTTCTTGTATTTGAAGACCGTGGTGCCTTCCATGTCTCTTCTCATTATATGAGATTTGAAGGCTGAGGCAATAGATCCTGCCTGCGTGCTCCTTTTGTGCTGCAAGAACACTCAGAGAAATTCCAGCAGGATTACTGGCTGCTTTCACTGACAGCCATAAGAGAGCTTTAAGTTATTTCAGTGGGAGCCCATATTTTGCTTTGGAGGCAGGAATTCTGAAGGAATCATAATTTATCTCTCCTTTGTAAAAGATGCATTTTATAAAAAGGTATTCCAGTAATGAGTTATCATTGATTACAGTTCTTTGCTTTTTTAATACACTGAAGTCTGGGGGAGAAAAAAAAATACGTATTTTGTATTTAGCAACTGTGTGGCCAAAACCTAAAGAAACTCATGCTAAAAATATCTGAAAACAGAATGTCATTCCTGTATTAAAGTTTTAGCAGTGGCTTTATCAAAGATGAGCAAAAACAAGGAAGGCACCCGGAATTTTGGATTTAAAGATGTTCTGTTTGTTGATTATAGGTCTATTATCAATGCACAAGTAGCATTGAAGCATTCAAAAAAGTAGGGCTTCCTTAAAGCAAGGAGAGAAAGTAAGGAAATAAGTCAGAAATCTGCAGCATGCTGTAATATATAAGGTTAGTGGCAAAACAAATGTAGGCTGAAAGAAATGGGAAGAAAACATTTGAAAGGATTGTCTTTAAATGTCAAACAACTTCCTGTACACGAACAACGATCCAGATAGTTCTGCATTTGACGTGCCAGCACATCAGATGCATGTATCACACTTTTTTCATAAGTGAACACTACATACAGAAGTCATCTTGCTACTTCTTAACTGTCTTTTTCACCCAAAAGCTTTGAGACAATCTGAGGTAAAGGTGATGACCAAGTGTTTCCCAAGGCTATTCACATAGTGAGTGAAGTGAAGGAAGTGAAACAGTTTCAGAAAACTAACAGGACTTTTAGAATATAAAATACAACTCAGGGACAAAGTGATCCTAACAGATGATCTTGGTCTTGGGTTAAATCATTAGTATGTGAGGCTAATAGAAGTTATAAATGGGTGTGTAAGTAGCTGGAAGGAGGTCTAGGGTAAGGATCATAGAATCGGAGCATTTCAAGAACTATGTTAAATGTGATTTTTAAATTATTTGGCAGTATATCTGGACCTTTGGGTTCCTGAATCCAATCTGCAAGGCATGTGCTTTCCTCTGTCCCCTTGTAGGCAGGAGGATTGGGATGGAGCTCCTGAAGCAAGAAGTACAGAAAGAGACTTTCCCAAGCTGGAGTGGAAGGGAGAGTTTCTCTGTTGTTAAGGTCAACTATGTCATTTCAAGGTAAAGTAAATACATTTCAAAGTTTTAGGATGAAACAGCTTATTATTAACACGTAGTAATAAATATGCAGCCTTTTTTTTTGTTACTGTTGTTCTGATTTGTTTTTTAAGTCCTTCCTTCTACCATACTTGGAGATGAGTTTTAGAAAGCATCTGAAGGAGCACCTTGGCTAGTTTTTTTAGGGTTTTTTTAAATCAAAGTTTGGGGCAAGACACGTCTAAGCATGACTATGATAGAGCAGGGGAAATGGGTGGGAAAGATGGTAGAACTGGTGTTATTAATAGTCTGATGCTAGAAAGGACCCGTAGCAGTGAAAATAATTTGTTTGTGTTTGATGAGAGAAAAACAACAAAGGGCTAAGATGAAAATGTGTGCAGTGGGTGGTGTATCTGGGCTAGCATGGCAGGAAGATGACTTGTACAGAATCTTTTTGTGTGGATTTATGATGTGTTAGATCAGGATTTTGATTGGGTAGGGCTCAACACCTCTGCTGAGGAAAATATTATACCAGGAGCAGCCAGCAGAAAAGCAGTTTTGTAGTGTTTCCTACAATTTCTCCAGATAAGGAGACTAACATAAAAGCAGGTTTTTCTACAGCCTTCAATCCCATCTTCCAATAGGCTGTTTTTTAGCTTCAGAAAAACGGAAACTTCTGGGCAAGAAGTACCAATCTGTGAGACTTCATGTACTTTCTACTAGGTAGGGTCTGCATCCTTTCCCTGGGCTTGATGTTTTCTGAATAGCCAGCTTTCCAGCAGGCCTCATTCTGTTATACCATCCCTGTGACCTTAATCCCTGCACATTTGGGAAATCTGTGTTTGGACAGGCTGGAGAAGAAGAGACTATGGGGGTGAAGGTGCATGTGTCTTACTGCATGTCTTCCACTGTCTGCTGGGCAGTGATTATAGAGAATATGGAGCCAGATTATTCCTAGAGGTATACAGTGGAAGGACAACGGGCAACAGACATGAGTTACATCAAGAAAAGTTCCAATTAGAAGTTAGGCAAAAATGCTAGGGAGCACCAGAGAAGGTGCCCAAAGAGTCTGGGAAATCTGCATCCTTGGAGGTGTTCAAGACTCAGGCGGGCAGGGCCCCTCAGTTGTCCCAGCTTTGAGTAGGGGGTTGAACCATAAAATCTCCTGATGTCCCATTCCAGCCTAAATTATTACATGGTCTTCAAAACCCCAGTTCATTCTCCCAGCCACAGTTCTTGAAGTTGGCTGTCTTCCCAGTGGATAACCTGACTTAAGCTCACTGCAAGCAAAAAAGGTTACTAAAGGCATCCTTACTGCTGCCCAAGATGTTATTGGAAAATTATGGTCATTTTAACCAAAAGAAGCTGCTGCCTCCTGCCCCAGGGAAGGTAGAGGAAAGGCAATATTTTCAGAGATCTCTGACAGATATCAGGAAACAATGAGGAATGTATGCTACATGATAAGATTACAGCTGATATCTTTACAATGTTCAGTTTAATTCAACGCACCCATTTGTCAGACAATATGCTTGAGTATCAGAAACATTTGTTTTGGCAGGGAAATCTTCAAGTAAGATTTTGTTTAGAAAAATGGATCCTCTCCAGAGCCCTTTGCTGAGGCAAGGAAGCGGACTGGGGAAAGAGAAACTTTGATGTTCTTCAGCAAATGCTAGCAATCAGACAACCTGGATGTATTTATAGATGTAGCATCTGAGTTCAACACACAGACTTGTTTTACCCCAGCAAGTACATTTCACTTTAAGGAATTTGGTTTTCTCCCAAGGGGAGGTTTTTGTTTTATCCAGACATCCTTTTTTGCCTGGCCAGATATCAAGGGTTTTTTTTCCAAGGATGCTATTAAGTGTAATGGTGCGAGTGTCTTTTTTTCATGAAATATACAAGGGTTAGTAATTTCTGAGAAATACTTTCACCAAAGCATGAACTTTGCCTTTTATAGTTGCAGGATTTTCTGTGATCAGAAGTCCTTCTTACTCTTTTGACATGCAGTCTAATACCTCGCTTTCTGTATTCTGTAGGCTCAGAATTAATGTTGTAGATTTCCCAGAATCTTCTGCTTCCTTTATTCCTGGCACTGGCATTAGTCTGTCAGTGGCACATGCTTCTGCTACAATCAGTGCAGACTGGAAAATGAACACATGGCTGCTGTAAGTATTGTACAGGGAAATACAGGTGGGAGGGGGCAGATCTGGGAGAAGGATTGCAAATGAAATTAAGAAATGTTTTTGGTAATTATTTTTCAGGTCAGATATGCTTTATTACTTAATAGCAATCTATTTGAATAAACTTCTGAAGGGAAAACATCCCTTGCCAACTAATGCTTTTTTGTTTGTTTTAAATTATTCTACCCCTCAAATTGTCTCTTTGGGAAGTATCAGGTCAACCATCTGTTAGTATGCTCAATTTGTCCAGACTATATATTACATGATACATGACATGAACATACAGGACCACAGAGTTTGCAGTGGCCATGTTTGTTACTTTCATTGTACAGTATAACTGGAAGGTTGACTTTATAGCTAATTATTTATTTGCTGGTATAGTGCATACTCTCTTACAAAATGCTCCTGTTAAAGGAAGGGCACTGTCACAATGCCAACCAGTTCAGGACTTTGGAAACTTCAGAATTAAGGTCACTATGAAAAACTGACTTAGCTTCATGAGCCTGTGCAGTATGAGACTGTTTTTAATGACATGATTGAATACCAATTTTTCCACTTTTTTACCTCAGCATTTTTGCTCTAGGATTTTAATATAATATTCTAGATTTTCTTGTGGGCAGGGGGAAGATTAAAACTTCTGGGATATCAGAAAAGTTGGCAAGGTGCTAATCTTTACAACTTTGGGTTAATGGAGTAACTGGTAACAGCAGTAGGCGTTGCTCTGTTTGTGAGCCAGATAGCACAAGATGGATCACCAGGCTGCGTGTTTCACAGCATGTCCTGATTTCAAAGGAGTGTGGACATGCAGTTCTGCATTCGGTCTCAGTACTGGTGGCTGGAAATTGCTGTCACTGTGTCCCCAACCTGTCTGTTGTTCCTTTTGTTGTACCAGTATTGTGAGGACAAGGATTTTTTTCAGCAGGGCAAATGAGCAGTTCCAAACGTGAAGCCAGCTTCCCTCTTGCTAAAGGATAAGGACCTGGGCACAGTCTGGAGAGACCCCAGATGTGCAAAACTCTCAAGACTTCACAGAGAGCAAGGGAAGCAGGAAGTTGGTGTTCAGGATTTGGCGGAGCAGATCATGGTGGAGGTGGTTAAACCAGCTTTGATGGAGTAGAGAGGATGAAGGGGTTTTCTTGCCTTTTTGAGGGGCTGCTTTGTTCAACGTTACATTTTGTGAATGGTTGTACATTTAGACAGATCCAGAATATGCCCATCTCCTCACCCCCTCTGTTCTCTAGTCCTACATGTTGCTTTCTGGGTAGCAGACTAAGAGAAGCCAGCTGAAAATGAGATTTCCAAGGGAGACTATTGACCATCCACCCCTCCTGGGCTGTTTCCAGGGTCAGTAAGATGGGTCTTACCACAACTTTTTAGTTGTGATAGTGTTATCCCTGTGTTTCCAGCTGTTACCTTAGCCCTCTTCTCCACTGTGTCCCAGAGCACTCTGTCAGTTGTAAAATCTCCTGGCAGGCTCTTTGCTTCTGGAGGTATGGAGCCGATCCCTGCCCCAGTGAATCAGGATTCCTCCTGAAGAAGAGCAGATATAAGGATGCAGGAACAGAGGACCTAAGTAGCTGGGCTTCTCCCCATCTCCCAAGCAGCCCAGAAAGGGAGGAGGGTTGAGATCCTTTTGCAGTGGTCCTTGTCACTCAAGGATGGGTAAATCTAGTAGGAAGTATCTCTGAAATCATTTTGTCCAGCCTTCTTCTCAAAAGAGAGACCAGACTAGATGAGGTCAGCTGTCCAGTGATTTTGTGTAGCCAAGGATGGTGATGCCACAACCTCTCCAAGGCACCTGTTCCAGTGTTGCACAACCCTCCTTGGGAAAATGTTTTTTCCTACTGGCTTGTGATACAGGGGTTTGGTCAGGGACTGGAAAACGAGGTTCTGAAGAGTGGCTTTCTCCAAACAGCCACTTAATGCACATACATGGACTGAAAGGTGCAGTTTAAAATGACAGTGGTTGTAGGAGGAACTTTGTGACTGGCAATACTACTCACTGGTTTGGTCAGGGGTAGTCTATGGTTTAGGGCTGAGTTGAGATTAATCTTTTGGGATTACAATTTCTTTCCCCAGGACTTTTGCTTAGCTTGGTAAAATAAAGAGGAAAGCAGAAAGATTCATGGTCTGAGCTTCATATTGACAAGGGCTCTTTCTCTGTAGTATGGTGCAGCTACTATAGTAGGTATATTATACTTTACCCAGGCAGTTACTATAGTAATGCCTGCAAAAAGGAAACCTAAGTAATCAGGACGATGGGATGAAAACTGATGCTTTCAGTGCCAGTTCTGTTACAGTAAATAAGGTTTTTATAGGGTTACTCTAACATCCATTCAGCTCTTCATACACTGTGCAGCTTCCACAATTCCTAATTGTAGTCCCAATACCTAAATTAGATGGTATTTAGGTAGAAGGATATTTTTGCTGGGTTCTTAGTAGGGATTTTTACAGAAAGGAAAATTAGTGTGTTTGGGACTGAACAAAGAATGAAGTAATCTGTATGTTTTAAAGGGTTATTGAAAACCGTTACAGTGAAGAGGAACATATAACAATTGCAGAGTTGAGAACCACTGGGTTATATATTTATTAACTACCTGACTTCTGCTGCTGCAGTCCTGAAGGCCTTCACTATCCTGAGGGACTGGAATGTCTTGTGTTGCTGTGAAATTGACATTTTTGCCAACTTGTCAAATCCTGCACAACACTGGAAGATTCACATCCTGGAAACTGCCACATGTAATCTGTTTCTGAATACCATGCATATCCCTAATCTACTTTAATCCCTAGAAAATCCATTTCTCATTCTAGATGACAGAAGCAAGAAGTGCTTTCAAACTTGATTTATAGGTAGTTTCTTAAATTGTTCCCTTAAAGCAGATGTTTCCTTGACTGAGTTTGTTTCTTTTCTCCAAGCAGCAAAGACCAAGGAGGAATTACTGTGTCAATCTCAGGACTGTTTATTGCAGTTATCATCAGAGTGTCACGGGATAGCACAGGCCACTTGTCCATATTGCTACACAATTGCCAGACGAGCATTAATAGTGTAAAAGTCAAGTTAAATGGTGGATCTAGGTAGGTAAAGAAGGTTTTCTAATTACTTTGTGGGAAACAGCAGGGTTTGTAGCATATTCAAATTCTTAGTTTTAGGGATCCAGTTACAGGATCTGAGTGACTATTGAAGGCTGTGAAAATAGATTTTTAAAGGTCTGTTTTCAAAACCAGGCTCGTTTACTCAGTGTGTGAAGTGTGGTTAATCCACACTTCTTTGTGCATGCGCCAGCAAATGAGCTGACTAGACATACTGCATACGAAAATATGGCCATTTGAGCATATTAAAGAGTACAAGATTCCACATGGAGGTTTACAGGTATGAAGGTGATCTAGGCAGATTATGCCTTTTGACAAGATGACCTACAATTTAAGAATAAAACTTTCAAAAGAGAACATGAAACAATGCTTGGAGTTCTCGTTTTGATTTTCTGTAATTTTTTTGTCTTACTCAAAATGTGGCTAATTGAGCATTGTTTATCAAGATGTTAGCATGAACATTCACAACTTCACGGGTTGCCTTCTAAATAGCTGTCGAGACTGAGAACCCCTAGCATTTATCTGAGACTCACAAATTAAACCAGTCAACTGTTCACTCTACCAATATAGCTGTAATGGCTTTTTGTTAATATAAACAACATTGATGCCCCAGTCTGCTGGATTTTATGTTCCAAGGACTGAGATCCTTGGAACATAAGTCATTGTGTTAATTTCCTTTCCTCCAGCTGGATCTACAGCTTTCTATCTGGTTATCTTGAGAAGCCCATTCACACCAAATTGAATAAAAATGTAAGTTTTCAAAGATGGTTTCAGCTAGCAAAGGGAGGAGTTGAAACACAGGTCTTTCATTACTGACTTGTCTCTCTTTTCATATAGCTATGCCTGAATATCAAATACAAAATCCAAATGATGGATGCACAGCTTAGAAAGCATACAGGTGAGTTGTTCATAGTGCTCAAATTGTAGCCTTTTTTATTAGACACCAAACCTTTCCTGTGTTCACAGAACAAAAAAAGTGAGGGAAGAAAAATACAGCCATACCTTAACCTGTTCTATACCCCACTCTAGAAATCTTTTGCATTCACCTTCTATGTAATATTGAGATTTCTCCTGTGCCTGTAGCAAGTCACCTGTAATTTTTCAGTCTGCTGTAGCTGAACTGTGTTATTTCCTTAGATTTTTAAGATGCACATTTTCATGTTGATCCTTTATGCTCTTGTTACTGTGAACGTAAGAAAACCTGGTCTCAGAAAAACTGAGTTAGCAGTAATCTACTAAAGACCTCACAAACATCCCATCCTGCATGCAGTCCTGTAAGATCTTGTTTTGCACATCTTGTTTTGAGCTAGAGTTCAGTGGGATAACAAGATGGTGCAGGAAAACTCACACTAATCGTGTTTCTCTTCCCACCAGTTACAATTCCTGTGCCTTGCTGAGACGTGAAGACAATTGAAGTCTATGTCCAAAAACACAAATAAGACTTTCACTACTATAATCAATGCCACAGCTTTTTTGCTTTTTTGCCTTTTTGCTTTTTTGCTTTTTTGCTTTTTTGCTTTTTTGCTTTTTTTTCTTGGTGGTTGTAGTGAGGTTTTTTCCCAATACTGTTGGCTGGACAAGGGACTCTTGATGTCAGAACTTAAAGGTTAATGTTAGCTTAGCTAAATTGTTTGGTGGACTTGTTCAAATTTTAACAATGGGTAGCAATTTATACCTGTCTCAGATGGTGACCATAGAAGAGAATAATGGTTTGTAAAGGCAGCAGTCCATCAAGTACTGTATAGAGTTGGAAAACCCAGATGAAATTAGGGGAAGGGTAACTCTGGCAGGGGGAGATCGCGATCACCGACTTGTAGACCACTTATCCCAGGTGTAGCACCTCCTCAAAAGATTAAGGAAGTGAAAATCTTAAAAACTGTAGTGCGCATGTGTATTAATCTACCTGGTATGTGAGTTAGTTTTAGCCAATCTGACTTTTCCAGAAGGAATACTCTTCTCTCCTTATAACATGTTTTTATTTTCTTCTTCCTTTTCCCACCATTATTCTTTTTCAGATTCGTAATTTTTATCATGTCTTTGCCTTTAAACAATAACTGCTTGTGATGTGCTTTTGTAATAACAGATGTTTTGGTTTTATCCATCCTTCTAGTCCTAAACCAGATTGATGCCTTTGCACAAATAGACTATTCCCTAGTTAGTTCTCCTGCAGTCTTCAAATCACACATGAACTTGGATTTGAAGGTAATTTGTCTTTAATACCATCATGCTTTCTGAGACTTTCAATTCTCTTTTGTGTTGATTCATTTCCTTTTACTACAGCTTTACTCAGCCTCTCCAATATTTAATTAGAAAAGCAAAAAGACAGTTGGATATTTTGGTCAAGAGCTATTTTGGAAAACAGATACAATTGTTTATTTAATAAATTTAACTGCATTTGTTAAATAACCAAAGCTATTTCAGAGTTGAAACTCTTCAGAGGTGCTTTATAAACAGCACAAAGATGTTCTTTAGATACACTGCTCTTCCAGTGCTGCTTGGTCTTTGCCTGTTACTGGTGATACATAATCCATGATGGGTACCAGTGTGATTGCAATCCAAAGCATTTGTTTTGAGATGACTCAGTATCTTGTATATGTACAGGTCACACCCAGGAAAAAAGACTTGTCACAGACAGTCCTTGAGCAGCAGGCAGCAGTTCCTTTCTTATCTATTTTTCACCTTTGTTGGCAAGAGATATCTCAGCAACACCCAGCTTTTCTAACAACTCCAACAGTCCTGGTAATTCAGAGCATCCCCATGGCTTTCAAAACTGACTTCAGTTAAGAAGATGTGCTAGAGCTATGGTTGCAACTCTCCCTCTTCATTATTTTGTTCAAGCAACTTTTACCACCCACAAAAACCACTGCAGGCAGGATATACATAGCTTAAAAATACTAAGCAATTATTTATTGGGTACTATAGCTAACTAGAACTTACAGGCTAAGCTTTAACACACTGACACCCCAGTGGGATACCACATGAGTCTTTGTAAGTCAGTTACTAGTTAAGAAAGTTGCTGCTTTTCAGTGCTTCTTGGAGAACAGGCTGCTTCCCGATGGTTATGAGTTGCCGTCTTCCAACTCTCAACTCTTTTTCTTAGGGTTTTATACCTTTCCATGTCATTATTTTTCCTGTTGAATCTTTCAGCTTCTAACCATTACCATGTCAGTAAAAGCACTACTTACTGTCTGTTCTTGCTTTTCTTGTCTTGCATGGTCTGAGCTCACATACCTTCTCAAATTTTAAGAATTATTTTCTTAATATAACTGAACGAAGGTCCCACACCTTTGCAGCACCCAAACTGAGGCAGCTGGACCAGGCCTAAGAGTTAGGTGGTATGAAAGGTTCCTTTGTGTCCCTGTCCTAAGCAATTTCCAGTGCTTTTGGGTGTGCTCGAAGATTTTCTTGAAATGTCACCATAAGAATTAGATTAACAAATGTGTCTTTGCCACAAGAGAAAGAAACTGTTGTCCAGGGGATGTTGGTTTTTTTTTGGTGTGTGTCTCATAGCTGCAGTTCAGAATACTCACTTGAATGCTCAAATTCAAACTTTCTCTGTGATCCCTGTATTTTTCCAGAAGAGCCTGAATTTGCTGATTTTTAGGGCATATCAAAAACTTACTTGCTTACTTCAAGTTTTCTTAAATGTCAAGCTTTTCTTCAGATTAGGAAGAATTCTTTCTGTTCAGCCACTGCTAATGTATTCTGACAGATACAAATGTTTATAACCAGAAACACTTGACAATGATTCTTTGCAGGGCACAGTCTATCCAGCAGGAAATCACACAGACCCTCCCTTTGTGCCAGCTCTGTTTGCTCTCCCGAACAAGGATGATTCCATGCTATACCTGGGAGTTTCCAGTTATTTTCTTAAGTCTGCTTCACTGGCTTACTACAGAGCAGGGGCCTTTAACATCACCATGTCCAAAGAGGTGAGTGGAATTTGCATGTAATAGAATTACATATATCAGCAGTATGGATGGTCAGCAGAGGAGAGTAACACATTATGTTTGCCATTTCACACAGATTTGTGTCACACTTCTACCACTTGTAGGAGGGATTCATGGCATTCATTCTGCATGTTACCATTTGAAAGAGCCAAAGTCCGAACTTCTTGTCAGCTCTACGCAAGGAATGACAGATACGAACATCACAGTTGGTGTGCAAGAAGTGGCAGAAAGAAGCAAAAAAATAGCTTTTTTTCTGCATGTATTCTATATAGGAAAGGGCAAGACAGGAAAAAGTGTACTGAAGTCTGCTGCATGATGGCTCACAACAAATGTATTGGCTATGCTGAGAGCTAGAACAAACCCTAGGACTTAACAGAGCAGCAGATTGAGGTAAGAAGCAGGTACAAGGGAGCTAAGCTTTCAGCTGTGGTGAAGAACACACAAGACATCTCTCATAAACGCTGTTTCCATACTAGCATTAACAGTCAAGAGTTTCCAAGAAGTTTTGCTAACCAAAATGCTGCTAAGAGGATCTTGTTAAAAATTGGTAACACAAATGGCACTGACAAACATCATCAGTGGTCAGCAGCAAAAGACCAATTGAGATTTTTGATTGCCTCTGACAGACTCAATGTATTTCATCTAAGAAAGTCCCAAAGGCAGGAAGTAAGCAGTGTGCCATGTCTGTTCTTTCAAAGAATAACGCTTGTTCGCTGGTAGCTGCTTCTGAAACATGTCCATGCCAAATCTGTCTCTCTTCTGTCCCACAGAGCATTGTGGGGCCCCTAGAAATCACTCTGGGGCAAGGAAATAGTAAATGAGAACATGGATTATGTAAAAGTAAAGTAAACAGGATACATTGTGGTTTGTTTTGTTCTTCAAAAAAAAAACAACTCATTTCCAAGCTGTTAAAATGATCTAATTTACTCCTTTTGTTTACAGCTTGCTACAACATTTAACCTAAATACTGCCTTATTCAAAGATCTTGTTCCTGAGGTGGGTACTTTTACTTGTACAAACCTTTTAAGAAGGAGCAGTAGCTAACGTTTCTTACGGATACTATCTGTCTACTAACTCATCTGCAAAAGTCTGGAAGAGACAAAGAAGTTGAGCTGGTTTATGATTAGTACAAGATTCAAAGATACATGTCTACCCCATCATAACTCTATGTTCTTCCTAACTATATCACACTACATTTTGGTAGTTCCGTACCCCTCTAAGTGCTGGATCTGCTCTCAGTGTTTGAAACAGTTGTGAAGATTAAGTGGTAGACTTCTGTGAGATCAGTCTCATTTCTGTTCCAAGTAATGGTATCTCTGCTACTGGTAGCCTGACCTCTTTATGCAAAGATAGCTGGTGATTATATACAATGGGAAGTAATAGTCATGAGTAGCTAAGTTTACAAATGTGATAGAAGAAACTAAGATACTATGAGATGCTTTAAAAATCCCTAATATGGCATCATTTACTATAAAACTATGAAATTTGTAATCTGTGGCATTGCAAGCTAAAGCTTTGTCACACAATCGTAGAATGTTTAGGGTTGGAAGGGACCTCAAAGATCATCTAGTTCCAACGCTTTCTAGGAGCTTCTCTGTTTTTCAAAAGATTGGCTCTTTTGGAAGGCTGCCTCTTTTCCAAATTCTTTGTATTGTCAGGATAAATTTTTTTCCTCTTCTTTTCTGGAATCTCTCACTTCCTTCATTTCTTCAACATGGACTGCTAATCCCCAAATCTTGAAATCGGTTTTTCAGGAACAACCTTTAAATTACTTCTTTATATATATTCAATATCAGTGGGTCTAAAACTTCATCGTTTGTTTTACAGTCTTTGAAATTCAGAGCATATGTAATGCTAAATTCAGAATTTCAGTTGGTACTGTTAAAATGACGTGGTTTTAATATAGGTTAATGAACAAGAGGATTGGTATAGAGCAGGTGATTATGATGCAGCCACAGAAATTGTGGCTTAAAAAAAGCTTAACTCAGCATTCAACATCTTTTTCCTCTTCAAAATTCCACAGATTGCCCTGAGTTACTTAACAGCATGCCCAGTGCTACTGAAGCTGGTGGCTACCTCACCGCCTGAAGTCAGTTTAAATGCAGACAGATGCATCCTACAGATCACTGGCTGTGTGGAAGTATTTGCTGTTCTGCCACATTCAACCACCCAGTACATCTTTGCGGGGAATCTAGTAAGTAATATGAGCTAGAAGATAACATTCAGTGCTGGGGCTGAACAAATCACACAGTAATCCTCCAGATCCTTTGAAAATCAACATAAAATAGCGTATACTGGTTTGCCACAAATATGCATACTGCTCTGTTGTATTTCACAGGGAGGAAACATGCACCACATATTGTAGAAATTAATAGGCAGGTGCAGAGAGCTACTTATGAGAGCCCTTTTTTTCCATGTGGGACGTTGAGTGATCATTGCAGAATAAATTGTAATATGTAAAAATGTGATTACCTGATGCCCACTCTTGCTAAACTGTTTGTTATAAAATAGTTCAGTGTGTCCCCAGACATCTTTTCATTAGGTTGAAAGTGAACCAATTATGTCAGCCATGCAAGGTCTTAAATGATCCTAATCATAAGGAGGCAATCGGGGCAGTATTATCACTTTGCTCACTCAATCTGAATTGCTGGCAGAAAGTGGCAAATTCACAAATCATTTCACTATCTACATGGACTGACCAAATAAAAGGTTTAGACATTGTGTTTCCAATCACAAAAGCAATTGTATCTGTGCCTGTATCTAAGACAGTATCTATCTGTGTGTACAGTCACAGAGGACTGGTTTTGTTTTCTTCCCTGCAGACAGCCAGTACCAGAGCCCATTTGACAATAACCAAACAGAAGCTGATTATCTCATTACTTCTGAAGAGGTAACTAAGGAAAAATCGGGAAGCAACAAAATGTTGGTTTTCCTCATGATTATACGTACAGTGATCTGAAGATGAATGGCAGGCATCTGTGTCTGGCAATTCCAGAAACATTTGTTTCCCAAGTCTTACAATCACAGCCCGGTACTACAAATGACTGTAGGAGGAGGTTAGTGTCAGAAAGATCCCAGTGGTTCTAGAACTCAGTTGTAGTTTTGCCAGTTTTGGTTAAAAGCTGTTGGCAATCTAATAGTCTTTGGCAAAGTTAAATGCGTGGATGAGCATGAAATCAGTGTGAAATTCCTCAAACGAAGCTCCAAGCGGTGTGTGTCACTTGTGCCTTCATCCTGTCTAGTGAATTCTCTTCCTTTACTTCTTTTCCTCAGGCTCCAATTCTCCCTGCTGCACTCCATTCTTGGCTTCTCTGAGGTAAGTTGATGTTTTCAGTGCCTAGGTAAGGTAGCTGAGCCCTTCAGTGTTAACAGAAATTCATCTGAACTTGTTGTTGGACAATTCTTGGTCTGTCTTGGGATATCATGCCACTGCTCTTTCTGCTTTGAAATAGTATATTCTCTGCTTTTCTTTTTCTTTCCAGTAAGAGGAAATACCTCTTGGAGTGTTTGTTTGGGTTTGGGTTTTTTTAGTTTTGATTTGCTTTGGGGTTTTGTCTATTTGGTTTTGTTGGTTGGTTTTGGTTTGTTTTCTCATCATAAGCTCCAAATATTATGGAATTATTACCATGTAACATTAATTGAAACAATGAGAAATGTTTGCCTGGGTCTGCATGATCTAACAAGCTGTCATAGTTGATTCTGCTCACTTCAGTATACAGCAGCACAAAAACAGGCACGGGATTAGCACTTCTAGCTGTTTCTGACAGCCAGCCTGAATTCACAGCTGGATTGAGTAGACATAGCAGTTGGAGTGAATACAAAGTCAGGCATAAGCTCAGTTTCAGGGATTATCTTAAATCACTTCAATGAAATATCATAAAAAGGCAAGTCGGAAAGAGGGAATAAAAGAAACCCCATGCCATTCGATAGATCGTCCACTGTAGACTGAGAAATGGTCAATATGACTCTGCAGCAGCTCAGCCCAACCTACATCTTTAAGTGACAGGAGGAGGGCACTAATCACAGTGGCATAAGACAGACCACCAGGACAGAGCAGTTTTTGCCACCCTGAGAACAGTTCAGTTCTGAGAACTGGGTTCTGACAGCTGAAATGGGGTTGAACAAATTTAATTCATAAAGTTAAGGTTCAACTCAGATACTTAAAAAATAAAAGAAAAAGACTTCAACTTATTGCAGGAAAACGGGACAGCTTTTTGCTATATGTATTTCACATCTCAGGGCTGCAACTTAAACAAAAAAAGATGTTTTTTTGCCTGAGACTGTCAAGCTCTGTTCTGACCTTTTTTGCATGTCACTCCAGTTCTAACCCTCCATCTCCCCTGTCAAGCTGCAATCCCATAGGCATCAGACAATAATCACCAAATGTGTTTTCCCCCTCACAGCAAATGTCCCTGGCAGAGAATTTTCTGTCTTACGCTTTACGGAGTGCAGTGATCCCAGTAATCAATGGTAAGGACTGTGGCCAGTTCCTGAGTACAGCTGGTGGGAATGCAAGACTGGAACCATAAAAGGGAGTGCCCAGCTTCAAACACTGTGTTATGGCAGGTTTTCTGTCCATTTGGCTGTATCTGGGCAGGTCTACTCTATGCTGGACTTCGGTCCCGGTCCCTCAGTCACACAGATCAGGTGCTAGGACAGAGTAGGTCATGGCTCACTTCCAAACACTGGGCTTGGGTTTCCTTTTCACTGGAGGCACTGTAGCTGAGGCATGCTTGAATCTTGTCCTTACAGTCAAGCCATGATCATAAAATGGCCCAGAGTGGGGAAGCACAGAAGCATGCTTGCATCTTTGGGCTTCAGGGTAGCATTTCTAACTTTATCACCTCCCTCTGCATTTGTCTTCACTTGGCTGCCACAGACAGGACAAAATAGAAAATCAGCTCAGTGGGATGCAGAGGGTGAGGGATGATGAAGACATGAAGGTGGGAAGAAGCAGGTGGAAGAGTACAAGAAGGTGCCTATGAGGTAAACAGAGGTGAGGAGACTGCTGGAGAGAAGCGAGTGAGTTTTCCTCCTTTGATGAGGAGAAAGAAAAGAGAATCATAGAATGGTTTGGGTTGGAAAGGACCTTAAGATCATCTAGTTCCAACCCCCCTGCCATGAGCAGGGATTCCTCACACTAGAATGAAAGGCAGGGATGCAAAAGAAAAAGAAAAGCAAATACAAATATGGTTGGGCTTGATCTGAAGATTTAGGGATACATGAGAAAAAGAGGGACAGACAGGATTAGAGGATCAGATAGACAAGAAAATGAAAAGAAGATGGGGAACAGCAGAAACCAGATCTTGTGGGGCAGGTATCTGAAGAGGAGCAAAAGCAGGTCCCAGAGTTGGATAGCTGAGAGATCGTAAGAGGTTTGTATGCAACTTTTTCACAGGATTGTTTGCTTTTTAGCACATAGGAACAGTAGCTCCCTTGAGAGGCACAAGGGCAGCTGGTTAAAGGGAAATGGCAAAACAAATTGAGTTCCTTGAGAAAGATGCATCTGAAGTACATTTTGTAGTTACATTCAAGTGTATTTATATTTTTCCTTTCCGAAGATAAACTAGGAAAAGGATTTCCTCTCCTTAACTTGGCCCACACTACCCTGACTGGACCTGTAATAAAAATTAATCCGGTGAGAAGCCCAATTTCTTGTTAAAGAATACTGCACATTTTTGTATGTTTCTGTGTTGGGTAAGTCTAAATGTTGCTAATAGTAAAAGCTTTAACTATATATGAGATATAAACCCCAAACTCTGGATCAAAAATGAACCCTCCATCCTCCCACCCCTAGCAGTTGTAGGTTGTAAAGTGTCCACTAGCCCTTTGGGGTATGCCAGCATGGGGACACCACAAGGACAGCTCTGCTATTCCCAGCAGGATTTAGGAGCAGTGATTATGTGAGTCCTTACTACTATGACCATTCTGTGACCTGTGCTTATAGGCAACCTGAGTGTCTCTGTGGTGTTACTCAGCCTTTTGGAGGTCTGTATTAACTTACATTGGAGCCCATTCCTAACTTAAAGTTAACTGAAGTTCAGGAGGCATAAGGCCACTCTTGTCTCCTGCCCTGCTCAGGGTCTTACCACAAGATCTAGTCCCAGAGTACTGACACTGACTATGTCCGTTTCAAATGTGAGGTAATTTTGTATGTTCTTCTTTCCTCAGGGTCATCTGGTGATTTCTACAGACATTGATTACAAACGTAAGGAAGGGGGAGATGAGGGCCTTCACAGTCACTCCTAATGTCCCTTTGCTTTTAAACAGTAATAAGACAAAAACGTAGTCTTCCTTCTGTTTCCTTGTAGGGAGTAGATGGTGTAACTTAGGGAGCTGGCTTCTCGGACACCTGAGAGTGCTGTTCAGAGAGGATTTACACAGATGAAGTTTTAGGTGGCAAAGGGTGGATATTCATGTTGATGGCACTGTTCCGAAGCTCACCACATGTAGGAGATGCTCAGCACCAGGTTATTGTCCTGGCACCTTAGGCTTAGGAGCAAGGGCTGGA